CCCCAAAACCCCAAAACCCCAAAACCCCAAAACCCCAAAACCCCAAAACCCCAAAATTAAGAAATTTATTGAAATTTGGAAAATTAAATCATTTTGGAAATTAATTTGAATTCTTGTTCAGAATTAATGCGAGAACAATAATCGCAACTAGACATGCACCTGAATATATTCCTAAGCTCCATGGTAAAGGATCAGGATGGTTTTCCCAAAAGAGTGTGAATACAAAACCTAAGAGGAACATTCCCCAGAAGTTAATCGTTAGGATTGTTCCCCATACTCCTGCGAAGGGCTTTGCTCCAAAGAACCGATAGACTATCAGAGGTGCTAGAACCCACCAGATTCCGTTTGAGAAGGCTATTAAAACTGTTTCGAGATAAAACCAGCTCAGAAAAATGACACAGAAGTATCCGATGATTGCCATGATTGCTCCAATTGTACCGAAGAGGAACTGGTTTGCATAGAGGCCTAGGAGTCCTCACACTAAAGCTCCCAAGGACTGACACAGCAAAAATAGGCTAGAATAAGTCGATTCTGGAGCCATCGCATAATTTGCTATTTTAATTACCTTGATATTCTTGAGGAAGGTTGAAGAAGTCCCAATGATTATAAAGGAGCTAATAAGTACACCGTATAGCTTGTAGTCCTTTATAGCCTCCCCTAGTGGAGTCCCTTCTGGATCTTCCTCATCCTCAAGGTATTCTTCATAAGGTTTTGGAGAGTCGATTCTAACTATGAAACTAGCTACTTACTTCTTGTGGGATACCTGGATTATAGCATAAGCAGCCATAAAATTTATGGCTAGCACAATCACAAAAATGATGAAATAAATTGTATATTGGAAATTCACAAGGAATCAAAGGTAGTTTACCATGATCATCAGGCCTGCGAGCAAGAGAAGGAATAACATCCCTATTACATCCTGAGACACAGTTATTCGAGAGTAAAAGTCCTCAATCACCACTATTTTTGAGATAAAACAGCTGATAGAATACACAATTGCCACAAAAATTCCAAGGATTGGATAGTAAAGCCTTGTTGAAATTCCTCTGAGCATTCCTTTCCTGAGAGATTCTTCGAAACTATAAGCCAGTAAGGTGTAGACCATCATTAGCACAATATAGAATTTCCCTGCTCTTTTGGAGAAATTGTGAAGTGTTTCACTTATTGTGGCTACAATTGCAATTGAGGATGCAAATGAAGCCAAGTATAGGAATAAGAGCGTGGAGAATAAATGCCATCCACTTCCGTGCTTAAAAGTGGCTCAAATTCCTAACCCTATATAACTGACAAGAGTTAAAATTATAGCAAGCACGTAAGCACCTATATGCCCTAGAAAGTGAGTAACTAGGCCCGGATTTGAGCCCAAGTATCCGAAGAGAACAACGAATAGCAGCCAGTCTTTGGTTGATTTATTATATCCTTGCTTTTCAAATACGGCATCCCAGTCCTCCCATAACGATAATGAAGCTGCTGCTCCAGTGACAGTTAGGATTGAGAAGGGGACAAGCAGCCATTTTCAGACCACTCCTTGTTTTGCTTCCTATAAATTAGCTAAATTCCATAAATTCTTGTGAAAAATTTAGCCCATCAGAGATTTAGAAGTGAAGCTTACCATTTTGAAGACTTCTCCTTTAGCAATCATTGAAAGGTGATTTAAATTTAATTATTTAACTTAGCCCGAATTTTACGGGGTTTTGGGGTTTTGGGGTTTTGGGGTTTTGGGG